AAAGAGAAAAAAAAAAAAAAACAAAAAAAAACCATCGGGTTTTGTCTTCTGCTAGTTGGGGTGGAGGTGAGAGCACAGCTCCATTATCGCCAAACCGAAGATTTACGTTTGCAGGACTGAAAAAAGAGAGTGGCTCCAAGATTTCGGGGAGAAAGGCAGACACAGAATCAAAATATTTTGCCCTGGCTTTTTCCTTTAGCCGTTGGGATGATCTGCGTTTTCTCAGCTCTTTATTTTCTATGTTTTAGGCTCACAACCATCGCCCAAAAAAAACCCCAGCGGATGCTTTTAAAAAGTTGAACCGGTCATTTTTGGTATAGTTGCTCCGTCTTTTGGTGATGCTACTGCTCTTTGCCCAAGGTCTTCACTTAACATGTCCGGAAATATTTTAAAATTCTACAAACCACCACAATTAATCCAAAACGCTGCTGACTTTCACAGCGTTTTGCGATACGTACAAATACTCCGCTCATGCAGCAGCCACAAAAATACAAACTTTTACCTCCACTTAGTTGACTTTTATTTTGACCTTTGTTTCTTCTGAATGACAAGACAAAAATTATTCGGACCTTCCAGTCCTTCAGCTACAAATAACACGGGGAAAGCCTGGTGGCAATCATTTCAATATAGGTTTTCTTCCGAATTGTTATAAACCGGTATTTTCTGAATAAATATTTCCCCGAAGTCACACCAGAAAATACGCCCGTTCCCCGATAAGCTGCTTTCTAGGGGAGAACGTAACAAATTAAACCAATACACGCGACAGAGCAGGATGCGATATGGGGTTGGAAGAGGCAAAGTTTGAGCATCTCAAGACTCTTTTTAAATGCTATAAAATGAAACACAAATGTAAACAGGAATAGATGGGGGAAATAAATAAAAAAAATCCTGTCCTTGTGCGTCCAGTAAAACGCAGAGTGAAAAAAAAGTTAAGGTTTACCTAGGAAAGGGTTTGGGGTTCTTTTTTTTTTTGGGGTTTTTTTTTTTTTTTTTTTTTTTCCTTGTGAATTCCTAATAAATCTTTCCTCCACTGGGTATTTATAAATTATCTTCTCTCTCACAGACACACACACACACACGCACACACACATCCCCACTTGCTTTTTCTTATAATAGAAACATTTTCCTTTCATCAGGAATCTGAGTACAGTATAGGAATGATTTAAGATCAGCCATTGATTTCTGGGGCATTGGTGAGTTACCATCACATCATGACCATAAAATTCTACTGCACTTGATAAAAACGTTAACTTCCAAGAACAACTTCACTCCTGCCTTCTTGGGGTCTAGCACGGGGAATTCCTGCTATTTTTTTGCTTTACAAACTTCGATAGATGGGACTACGCCTGTAAATACACAGAGAAGCAGACAGCTCCTTTTATAAAAATACTTTAGTCGATTTAGTCGATTCTTTTTTTTTTTTTTTTTTTTTTTTTTTTTCCTTTCTTGAAAATTCTAGCATCGAGCATCCCTATCCTTTGCATACATGCAAAGCTCTATTTACTTGTGTGCACCATTTCTGGGGTTTTATGTTCAAAGATGAAACCAAAATCTGCTCAATCGACAATAAAAGTGTTGAGAAAAATAAAATGTTAACTTCTCTTTTAGGGGGGGAAAAAGCCTTAATTATACCACTGCAAGTACTCCAACAACAATAATTACTTGAAAAGGCTCTTAGACTCGACTGAAATTACCCCTACACAAAATAAAGGAAACGTATTTACTTAAATTATTTCTCTAAGGATGGTTTTAAAGTTTTATTCCGTTACTATCTTTGTTTTCTTTCTTGCTTGCTCTCTCTCTTTCTTTCTGTCTTTCTTAACTCCCTGCCTATCCCCACTGCCAATTTTAATGCAAGTATTTTTTTTTTTTTTTTGGTACCAAAACCCTGTCAAGACGGACTAACCGAATCATTTCAACTTTTTCCTCTTTTCCACGTTGTGGAGGTTGAAAATTATCCCTCAGTCCCAGGCAGGCAGGAATGAAACCGTCTTTAATTCACCTTTCTTGTGTCAAACCCGCGCAGACGGATGCAATGGGAAGCAGCAGAAATCTACCCAGAGCAAAAGGGGAAGGAAAAAAAAAAAAAAAAGGGGGGGTTAAAAGAGTGTCTTTAGCTCCTATTGAAGGCTGAAGGATTGGAAAATATAGCTGGCATTGCGAGGGGCTTGGAGGGGCGTCGTGGGTGTTAGGGAGGCTGGGGCAGCGTTTGGGTTGGGAGGGTTTGTTGTCGTTATTAGCTGAAATACGTCTCGGTAATATTTGCTGACTGCGATAAATGAATTTCAAAATCTACCCCCTGTGTGTTTAGATGGTGGAAAATTGCAGCGTTGGCATCTTAGGGGTAAGTTTGCTCCGTTGTTACCAAATGCCAATAAAATAGAAAGCCTCTCCTCTAAAAGTTAGGAATAAGTTGGCAGGGGTTCTTCCGCCCCTTTTTCTCCTAAATAATTTACAATGCGGCTCTGAGAGTGCCCCCCACACACTCTCTCGCCTCCCTCCCCGTCTTTTCTCCTCTTCCAAGTGACCCAGTATAAAACTACCAGATGAGGAGGGTTTTTTGCCTGTAAGGATCCTACTAAACTTTCAGGTCAAAGTCACATATCTGCCATGGCACGATTCAAATAAAACTCCCGCGTAATGAAACAATCTAAAACAAAACCCAAAAAAAA